GCTGCACCAGTCCTCGGGAAGCAGGAAAATCCAAGCAGTGCTGAGGAGGAGAATGGCGAACCAGGCGAGGAAGCAGGCGGCGACGAAGAGCGGCAGCCACTTGACCACGCAGCCCAGGCGGCTGGTCCAGGGGCCGAGGGCCATGAACTCGGAGACGGGGAAGTCGTTGAAGAGCAGCAGCACTCTGCAGAGCAGCAGCGCGCAGAGCCCCGCGGTGCCGGTCACGGCCATCAGGCTCACGAAGGCTGCTGCGATGAAGCGCAGCGCCGCCTCGCCGCACCGGTAGTTCGTGAAGAAGCTGCGCTGCGATATCAGCAGGTACACCAGCAGGTTCAGTCCGTTCCCCAGCAGCGCCGCTGCGGCCAGCGCCTGGAAGAACACGCCCAGCCGCCACGCGTTCCGCCGCCGCCGCCAGTTGAACGCCAGCCGCCCGCAGCAGCCCTCGGGGCCCGCCCCGCCCGGCCCCATTCGCCGCTTCTCCCCGCGCTTCCACCGGCTTTTTACCGCCTTCTACCGGCTTTTTACCGCCTTCTACCGGCTTTTAGCGGCTTCTACCGGCTTTTAGCGGCTTCTACCGGCTTCTAGCGGCTTTTAGTGGCTTTTAGCGGCTTTTAGTGGCTTTTAGCGGCTTTTAGTGGCTTTTAGCGGCTTTTAGTGGCTTTTAGCGGCTTTTAGTGGCTTTTAGCGGCTTTTTAGCGGCTTTTAGCGGCTTTTTCCGCATTTTTCGCCCCCAAACGCCCGGGAAGCCCCCGCAGCCGCAGCGCCGCAGCGGACGCCCGCGCCCGCGCCCAAGGCGCCGCCCGCGCGCGGAACGCCGGGCTTTCAGCTCCGCGGGAACGGAGCTGCCTTCCAAAGCTGAACTTTCAAACCAACTTCAAACGCCGCTGTCGAACGGACTCCTTTGCTTGCGCTTTCCGCAAAATGCCGCAGTCCAAGCTCGGAGCCGCCGCGGCCGCCGACACCCCTGTACGTACACCCCGCAGCCAGCCAGCCGCGTCCGCGTCCCTGCGAAGCCACGGGAAACCCGCCCCCAATTAAACGCCTTTTCAATTCTTTTGCTACTTTTGTTCACTTTAACTCCCCAACTCGCAAACTTGGGCGTTCCGGCCCGAAATTCGCCGCCCAGCGGACCCCGCGAGCTCCACAGCCGACTCCCTGCTGCATGCGCTTCCGCCTTCGCCGTTCTTTCCACAAAATAAATGCCCCCTCAATATCCCTGAGTAATTTAACTCGAAATTTAATTCCTTTCTGAATTTTTCAACCAAAGAATCCGACAAAAACCTGCGCTCTCCACTCTCCGCAAAAAGTTCAATATCCGCCGCTGACACCACTCGCCCGAACAAGCCGCTCCACCGCTCCTCCCGCAGCCTCTTCAGCATTTCTTTGCTCACCTTCGCAAAAATAAATCCATTTTTGCCCATTTTTACAAAAATACATCCATTTCAATCCATTTTTCACATAAATAAATCCATTCCAATCCATTTTCCTTAAAATCAATGCATTCTGATCCATTTCTCATGAAAATAAATCCATTCTAATCCATTTCTCATGAAAATAAATCCATTCTAATCCATTTCTCATAAAAATAAATCCATTTTAACCCATTTTTCACAAAAATAAATCCATTTTAACCCATTTTTCACATAAATAAATCCATTTCGATCCATTTCCACAAAAAGAAATCCATTTTAACCCATTTTTCGCAAAAAAAATCCATTTTAACCCATCTTCCACAAAAATAAATCCATTTTGATTCATTTATCACAAAAAGAAATCCATTTTAACCCATTTTTCGCAAATAAATCCATTTTAATTTATTTTCCTTAAAATGAATGCATTCTAATCCATTTGTCATGAAAACAAATGCATTTTTCCTTAAAACAAATGCATCTTCTTCAATTTCGTATGAGTAGAAATGCATTTAAATTCATTTTCCTCTCAAGAGTTGCTGCGTGCAATGGCCTGCGCCCAGCTGTACAGGCATCTACGGGAACCGTGACTTCTTTGAGCTCCAAATTTCCCGCTTTAAGTCCTCTTTCTTGCTGTATCTTTGCTTTAATTTGATTTTTAATGCAGTGTTAGTGTTTTGTTTGTTTTTTGAAACTTTACTTGCATTCTTTTGATCCTTTTTGACGCAAAAAAGGCTCCGCCAGCTCGCCCAGAGCCCAGGTGTACGTACACCTCCACGCCGTTGGCCACACCAGCTCTCTAAAGCTAAATGAAAAGTTTAATAAAATTTTAACTTTTTAATTTCAAATAATTGAACTTGGATTAAATTCGCATATTCGTTTGCAATTCGAGAAATGCCCCTCAGCCAAAAGCCCCCTCAAGACAAAGTGCATGCGCTGGGCACTTGGGGCTTTTTTGAATGCAGATAGCCCTGATCTAGGGTTTAGGGCATAGGGTTTAGAGTTTAGGGTTTAGAGCTAATTGGAAATGAGGTTTCATAACTAGCAGAGTGCATGCGTTTGGGGCTTCTTTGCATGCAAACAATCTCATTTAACTCGCCATAAAGCTCCATAGCCAACAGAGTGCATGCGTTTGACGCTTTTGCATGCAAGTGTTCCCTTTAAACAGGCGAAATATGGGGCTTTTGCATGCAAAAAAGTCTCAGTTAACTGCAATAAAGCTTTACAAATGGCTTGGCCTTAAAGCTGAAAAGTTTGGCTCCGTCACAAGAAAAAATACTTGTGGAAAAGTGGAAAAGAAACTCTAATTAGGGATTCCCTTTGGGGTGTACGTACACCTCGCCCCCAGCGGGCCTCTACCCACTCAGACGCAACTGCACGCAGCTTTTACTTCATTTCTTTTTATCTTTTCTTTCTTTTCAAGAAAAGTCTTTTTATTTTTTTCAAAGTCTTTTCTTTTTTTCAAAAAGAAAAAACTTTACTGCTGGTCGTAATTCGCGTCTATGAGGCCTTCCCCGTCGCCTGTACGTACACCCGAACGTCCCACAAAATGTAATTTTTTTTTCATTTATTTTTAATTCAATTCATTTAAATCTTGAACTCAATTCATATCAAAGTTAAAATCAATTCATTTAAATGTTAAAATCAAACTCAACAAAGTCCCACAGACAAAGAGGCAGGGGTGGAGCTAAGCATTTACTAGGTACAGGACGGGGAGCAAAAAAAGAGGTTTAGGGTTTAGGGTTTAGGGATTTGGGTTTAGAGGTTAGGGTTTAGGGCTCAGAGTTTAGGTTAAAGAGCGACGCTGCGAGGGTTTAGGTCTTAACCTTCGGGTTTGTTTCACGCCTGGTGTCCAGCGCAACGGGCTTGCAGGCGAGCTAGGGTTTAGGGTTTAGGGTTTAGGGTGTAGGGTTTAGGGTTTAGGGTGTGCAAACCTCTCCAAAAGGACTCTTCCAAACTGACGTTGGCCTCCGAAGGAGTTCTTCCGGCCCCTCCGCCAGTGCCATGCTCTTCCACAATCACCACGTGGCTATCTTGGGCCTGGCTCGAGGGTTTTCTGAGAAACACCAGCAGCAAGTGCACTCTAGGGTTTAGGGTTTAGGGTTTAGGGTTTGAGGTTTAGGGTTTAGGGTTTAGGGTCTAGGGTCTGAGGTCTAGGGTTTAGGGTTTTGTGTTTTGGGTTCTGAATCTAGGGTCTTGGGTCTAAACGGCAAGTGCACTCTAGGGTTTAGGGTTTAGGGGTTAGGGTTTAAGGTTTAGGGTTTAGGGTTTGAGACATACTTTGTGTAGAAGACAGCACCCGCTGCTACTGCTGCCAGCAAAATTAGGCCCCCCACAACACCTCCAGCAATAGCCCAGTTGTTATCTGTTGCGCAGCCAAGTACAAGGACCAAACCCTAAACCCTAAACCCTCGGACAAAGCCCAAAGATACAAAAAACGCAAAAAGAAGCCCAGCAGCAGCAGTAGCAGCAGCATCTTCCCATCAACAACAAAAAGAAACTTCTGAATGTGGACTTTGGGAAAAGTCGCAAAGCGCATTTGCACGCATGCGGTGTCTGGGGCGTGGGGTGTACGTACACCCCGGCGCCGGGGGCCGCTCTCGCGCCCGTTTTTTTCCGCTCACTTTCTCCTTCTTGTTCTTGTTTTTCTTCTTGACCTCCCCCCTCTTCAGGCGGCAAGGAAGGCTCTTCTTGAGGCTCTTTTGGAGGATTTGTTTCCCCCTCTTCCCCCCCTCCTTCGCCGCTGCCGGGCTCTCCGGGTTCGGGGCTGGGTTCGGGGCTGGGTTCGGGTTCGGGGCCCCCCGGCTGGGGCTCCTGGGGCCCCTGGGGCTCCTGGGGGCCCCCCCCGCCCCCAGAAGAGGGGGGGCCCCCCGGCGCGGAGTCCGGGAGGGCCTCCTCCGCCAAAGAACCCACTGAGGTGTAGGCTGTGTGCCCGGGGGCCCTCAGGAAGCAAGAGGGTACAGCAGCAAAAATAACACAAGTCCCCCCTGGCCCGGAGCTGCTGGGGAAGAAGTTGGCGTAGTTTTGCCCAACTCCCGCTGCAGCAGTGCGCATGCATTGCAAGTGCTGCTCAGCAAATCCAACACACAAGGACCCACCAGCAACAGCAGCAGCAGCAGCAGCCGCAGCGGGAGAGCGGCAGCAAAAAAAACAAAAAAAAACGCACACAAATTGCACCCGGGAAGTGGCTGAGCAGCAGCAGCAGCAGCAGCAAATTAAGTCCCCAGTTTTCAACCCCACTGAATTCAATTTGCAAATCAAAAAGTATTTTTCAATTGTTGAGCGCGCAGCGCATGCACAACACGGCCCCCTGGCAGCAGCTGCAGCAGCAGCTGCAGCTGCAGCAGCAGCACCAACAACAGCAGCTGCTGCTGCTGCTGCTGCTGCTGCTGCTGGAGTTTCTGCTGCTGCGAGTCACCTGAGACGGAGGCGCTGCTGTCGAGCGTAGGCCAAATGGAGTCCCAGTTGTCGGGGTTGGAAGCAACAGCTTCGTCAGAAGCAGAGAAGTCAAAAAGAGTTTCCCAACATTTGCTTTTGTATGCAACTTGCAGTGTACGTACACCCGAAGAGTTCGCCGCCAACGCCGTGCAGCCCCCCACCCCCCACTGTCCGAACACCGCGTCCTTCACGGCTCTCGAGGCTTCGAACAACAACACAAATCAAATCAATCCAATTAATTAATTAAATTACTTATTTAATTTAATTTAATTAATTTAATTAAATGAATAAAAGAAGTAAGAAAGAAAATCATTCCGCGGGCCGCCAGATCGAATTTGCAAAAAGTGGGACCTGAAATCAAAAGATTTAGAATTTTGAATTTCAAATTTCTTCAAGTTGCTCTGTTAAAATTACTCTTAAAACTTTATTTTTAATTAAAACTTTATTCATTATTAAAGCTTCATTGAAATAAATAAAAAACAAAAAGTCGAAAAAGCAAACACAAAAATTCAAGAAACTTGAATAAAAGCAGCAGCAGAAAACTAAACGGAATCGAAAGACGACAAACACTGCAGCTGTGGGCCACCAAAACACCGCAAACTCCTGCATCTGCTGCAGCAGCAGCAGCACCACCTGGTGCTGCTGCTGCTGCTGCTGCTGCTGCTCACGGCACTTCTTTTTCCAAGCCTCTGGGTCTGCGCCCATTTGCCCAGAGCCATAGACAAGATGGGTCGAAGCTGAGGCGCTTTTGGCGGGGCGGAAGCAGGGCCAAAAGAGGCCAGCGGGGGTCCCGTTCGAGGAGCAATATCTGCAGCAGCAGCAGCAGGAGCAGCAGCACCAGGGGGGGACCGGGTTCGGTGGGTGCTGCGGCTGCGGGGGAATCAGGTGCAGCAGCAGAAACGCAGGCGCGTTCTGCTGCTGCTGAAGAACTGCTAGCCACGAAAAAAAACCAGAATGGACTATCGTGCATGCAAGCGTTGCTGCTGCTGCTGCAGCAGCAGCAGCAACGCTGCTTCTGCTGCTGCTGCTGCAGCAGCAGCAGCAGAAGCAGCAACAGCAGCAGGTACTGCGGTCGCCGATCCTACGGCTCCTGCGTCTGGAATAAGATTAAAGCATTGTAATTCCCAAATCCCAATAAACTGCCCTTAATTGAAATGCCATAAAATGCCATCTAATGAAATGCCATTTAATGAAAACAATTAATGAAAATGGAATGAATAACAATAAAAGCAATGAAGCCTTGCCTGCTGCCAGTGAGCTTCTGCATGCTGACGTGCAGCACGAAGCAGCTTTTTGCTGCTGCGTCGTAAACAAAAGGCAACTTGTAATCAAAAGTGCCATTTGTTCCTGGCTTCCGGGGCTCCATCAAGTAGCTGTACTTCGCGCAGCGAGATATCGGGTCCGATGGCCCCGTCACTGCAGCAGCAGCAGCAGCAGCAGAGAGACGCACAAGCATTAGATGCACAGAGGCTGCTAATGCTGCTGCTGCTGCGCTGCCTGCTGCAGCACAGCAAACTGCGCTTGACTTCCTGCGCTTGAGCCGCCATTCAAATAAGCGGGATACGTGGAATAAAGATTAAATTGAATTAATTAAATTAAATTGATTAAATGAATTAAATTAAATTAAAACTTACAGCCAAAAGCATCCACGAGGAAAGAATCGGCAACCGGAGAAAAGGCGCGTCCGCTGCTGGTGACATACGCCAAGTTGAATCCTCCGGGCAAAGGCCTTTCGGAAGATCCCGAAACTGGAAAGTCTTCGAGAAAAGTTTTGTAATTTGAATTTTGCTTTTCAATTTTAATATATTTCCCAAAAACTGGACAGAGTCCTCCCGGCTGGCGGTATCCGGAACTCGTTTTCCCGAGGTCCACGTACACCCCAGAACCTGCACGAAACGCGAACCCAACCCGCCCGCGATCTTCCGCTAAATCCGTCTCCAAACGCGAAATTAAAAAGCAAAACAGAAACTAAATGATAAATTAAATGATAATTGTCCAAAAAATTAAAAAAAAGCGACAAAAAAATGAAAAAAAAAATGACCTTTTGCTCACCGTGAACAACCGGGATATTGAACTTGCTTATGAATGTCTTCAGAGCTCCCGACAGCCAAGGATTTTGACTTTCTGTTTGCAGTGTAGAGACAGCATGTGGCGATGCAGTGGCCAGGAAGTTGTTTGAATTCAACTTTTCAGCTTCCTGCTGCTCCTGCTGCTGCTGCTGCTGCTGCTGCTGCAGCTGCAGCATCTCTAGCGCTGCTGCTGCTGTTTGATCCATCGCGGAAAAGCTCTCTGCAGGCGCTCTCTGCAAGGGGGAAGGGCTGCTTTGCTGCTGCTGCTGCTGCTGCTGAACTTTGACGCCCGCAGAGACTTCGGAGTTGAAGAAAAGTAAAGAAGAAATGAGCAGCAGCGCCGCTGCCTGGCGCTGGTTTTGCCCCCACATGGTGTCTGTACAGCTGCGAAGACTCAGCAGCAGCGCTGCACTTGGTCCTTTTTGAATCCAATTAATTCTTTTCTGAATTTCAGAAATTCAAAAGAGAATTAACTGAGGCTTCAGCTGGCTGCACCGCCTGCCGGGGACTCTGCGGTGTATGTACGCTGCAGACCGCGAAAAGGAAGACACGGGAAGATGGGCAAAAGCCCGAAAAGGCTCAGCGTGATTTAGCTGCTGCAGCAGCAGTTGCAGCAGCAGCAGCAGCAGCAGCAGCAAAGTCCGCAGCTTTCTGTGCGGCTCTGCCCATTTGCTGCGCCCCGCGGGAGGTTTGAGCTGAGAAAATGAAGACTGCAGAAAGTGGAGGAGTTTGATGGAAATAAATGCAGGAAATAAGAAAAGAGGAAGAGCTGCTGCTGCTGCTGCTGCTGCTGCTGCTGCTGCTGCTGCTGCTGCTGCTGCGGCTAGGAGAGAACCTTGGGGGTCAGCGCAGCGGCGGGAAGCTGGGGAAAAGGGAGAAGTTAAAAGAGGAAAAGAAGAGAAGTTGAAAAAGAAGAAACGTTAAATGAATTTAAATTCTAAAATGAAAAGTCTCTTGGTTTTCCTGCTGCAGTTGGGCTCGCGGGAAAAGTTGAACGCCGCGCAGTCGCTGGCCGCCCGCCTTCGAAATCGGGGAGCCGGCGGCCGTTTAATTCGAATTAAAAGCAAATTTAAACAAATAAATGATTTAATTAATTAAAAAAATGTCCTTTTTGCATTTTTAAAATGCAAAATTGCAACAAAAGCAGCCCGACAACGCGGTGGTTCCTGCAACACCAATGGACTGCTTCGTGTCCCGCCAGCAACGCGCGAAAAAGACAAAAAATACACCTTTTTCTTTCTATTTTCCTTTTTTAAATGCAATTTGGATTTATATTTTTAAAATGCTTTTTATTTTTAACTCCGTTGGCTGCGGTGTCTCGCCAGCGGTCGCTCACCGAGTGTCGATGATCCGGCATACACCTCAGCGAGGGAACAGCGAGAAACGAAGCTCCTGGAAACTGCGGGAAATTTTGAATTAAATTTCTTTCAACTTGAATTAAAAGGGAAATAATTGAAAATAAAAAGAAGAGATAAAACTAGAAAGGAAATTAATTCCAAAAAATACGCAATCGACGGCTGTTTCTGGTCACAGGCACAAGCCAACCCGCCGCGCGCTCGTAAGACAGCCGAATTTTCTTGTTTTTGCAAATTAAATGTGAAAATGTAATCAAATAGTTAATTAAAATTAATTTAAATGAAATAATATAAATATTTAAACATCTAAAAAGCCCAGGAACGCGGCCAGCTTCTTCGTGTCTGCTTCCCTTAGGCTTTCATTTCAGTTCGTTTGGCTGGGCTGTCTGTCCACTCCAATTCAACTTGAATTAAAACCTTTTAATTTCCATCTTTTCATTTTTTTGCAAATTAATTTACTTTCAAGCTTCCCGACAACTCTAAATTAGTTGTTTGCAAGTTATTCTTTTCAATTTGCGTTTAATTTGATGTCTTAGTTCAAATTTTCAGTTGATTTTGCTGTTCAGTCTTCAACTTCGTCAACCGGCACATCTTTTCCTATAAGTCTCATTTTAATTTTATTTTAACTTTTTGCTTTTTAATTTTTTTTATTTTTGGGATTTGTTGTTTCCCTCTCTGAGAAGTATTTGTGTCTTTTGTGTCATCTTTGCATCAATTTAATTCTTTTTGGAATTTATTTTGATCTTTTATTTTAATTATTCTCCTTTTGACTCTTTTTAGAGCTGGGAAAGAGGGAAAGAGATCTGAAATTAAGGTAGAAAGGGGCTTCTGTGCTTAGGGTTTAGGGTTTAGGGTTTGGGGTTTAGGGTTGAGGGTTTAGGGTTTGGGGTTTTGGGTTTAGAGCACAGGGGCGAATTTGGTGGCCCACAGTGTTCCTTAAAAAGCACAAACACAATTAAATTTGAGATAATGCATATATACAATATATATTATACATTTAAAATATTATATGTATATATATTATTGTATAATAGTATATATAATATATAATATGTAATATACATACATATACTTAATCTAAATGATTTATAAAAATATTTATAAACTTTCAAACGGAAAATCCGAAGAAGACGAATGAATTTACAAAGGGAAATAAAAAAACATAAATATCAAAAACAGAAACATCCAAAACTACAGAAAAAGAAAAAGCTGCATTATTCCCTTTTCCCTAAAGAGGAGGGCCCCCCTTGGGCCCCCTATAGGGCCACCTGGGGCCCCCTTTGGGGCCCCACGGGGCCCCTTTAGGGGCCCCTTAAGGGCCCCTTTTAATTATTTTGGTTTTTATTTCTTTTCCTGCTGCAGCTGTTTTATTTGCTGCTGAAAACGAGCGCATGCCTGCGCATGCAAAACACTGGAGTCTACGGTGTACGTACAACGTGCATGCGCACTGTGTGCATGCAACTCATAAATAAGGTTTCGGGTTTATTCATAAATATGTAAATTCAAATTCTTTTTGCATTTAATTAATTAAATGGATTTAATTCATCGTTTAAAAGACAAGAAGAAGGAATTGAACCCGAGAAACAACTTTTCAAAACAAATTCATCAACTTGAAAAAAGATATTCAAAGACTTGAAAATTTTTTTTCTTTTTTCTTTTCTGGAAATATTTTATTTATTTAAACTAAAGAAAGAAGAAATAGGTGAAAATAATGCCCCCCAGTGTTGTTGAATTTGTCTTCAACATTTTTTCAATTTCAAATTCAGATTTTTCTGAAATGCACTTTTCACTTTTTATTTCTCTCTTTCTCTCCAGCCCTTATGAGGAGTTTCTTGCATGCAAGAGTTCCACAAATAAAACAAAACAAAACAAAACAAAATAAAATTAAATTAAATTAAATTAAAAAATGTAGTCATTTTTATTTTCCTGTTTTGAACTTTTGTTGAAATAGTCAAGAGGAACAAAAAGACAAAAGTGATAATAAACAAATTGTAGGATTCCCCTCTTCGCAGCCTTCTGCTAGCCACACAATTTCAGTTCCAAAATCCGACGATTCGAGCAGCTAGCTGTGGCTAGCTGTGGCTAGCTGCGGCTAGCTGTGGCTAGCTGTGGCTAGCTGTGGTTAGCCGTGGTTAGCTGTGGCTAGCTGTAGCTAGCTGCTGCAGCCACGGGGCGGTGGGCTGAGTCGGCGGTCAGCGGCCAAACCCTAAAGAAGGGTTTGCAGAAGTTTTCATGAAAAAGGGTTCTGGGAAACCAAAAAAGGAAATAAAAGAGAAAATAAATAAAATAAAAAGAAAAGAAATAAAGGAGAAGATAGATCTGTCTTTTTGTGGAGTTTGGAAGCACACGAGCAGCAGCGCATGCACGCTCGCGGCCAAGATTCTGGAAAAGGAGCAAAAATAGCTGTCGAGTGAATTTCTTTTAATTTCTTTTAATTCAATTTGCAATTTAAAATAAATGGCGAACAAATAGAAATTAAATAAACAGCTTTTTGCTGCAACACGAGAACACCGGGCGGGCGCCGCTGCTGCGGCGGCTGCTGCTGGTGTCATTCTGGGGCTAGTTCGGGTCTTCTTTCTTCTTCTGGCGGTTGTTTCTGGAATTAAAAAGACAGAAAGTCTCATTTAAAGGATTAATAGAGCTGCAGCAGCAGGGAAAGAAGGAGGGAGAGCGGGCGCGGGTCGTTGCTGCGTGCAAGGTTGCATGCAAGAGTTGAACTGGCGCGAAACCGGCGAATTTTTTTGGTTTTTAAAATAAATAAAAGCGCGAAAAGACTCAAAGATGCATTTTCCGTTATTTCGGCCGCTGGCGCCGCTGGCTGTGCGGATTTCGGCCCGCTTTCCACCGGGAGCAGCTTGCGCGCGTCTGGGCTTTTCAACAAACGCCCCCGCGCAGCACTCGCCGGGATCTGCGCAGAAACATGAGCCCCAACAGCATTTAGAAGAGCCCAAAGGCCTTTATAATATGCCGCAAGACCATTCGCATCACGGGGATCCGCGGAAGTTCATAAATCCCGACGGCACCTACACCTACCCCATCACATCCCACCTCTTCCACTTCGAAGATACCTATTCGCCGGTGCCAAAACAGCAGATCGTCTCCATAAATGGAAAGAAAATGATAAAAGGAATCGAGTCGAGGTCGCTGGTTGAGCTCTTCAGCATCCACCAGGTGAAAATCCTTCGCTTTCCACTTTTGCAAGTTCTGCTGTTCAAGTTGCTGCAGCCCGCGTGCGCTGCCTCGTTTTCCCCTCTTTTTGCACGCAGTTGGTCTCGTTTTTTTGGAAATCAAGAATTAAAATGAATTTAAAAGAATAAAATCACAATAAAGACAAATTACATCAAAATAGGAGAATTCAGAACAGCTGCGAGCGAGGCTGAGGGAGCAGCAGGTCGCTGCAGTTGAATCTGAAACGCATTTTGAGTGGAATTGATGTCGTTTTGTTTGAAAAAGCGTTTCCGAGAGATTTAATTCATTTGTAATTCACTTAAAAAGCATTTTAAAAAAGATTTGGCCTTTTAAAATTCAAAAATCCTTTTTTCCGCAGCTGAATATTCCTTTTTTCCCAAGAAAACGCATGAACGTCTACGGCAATCACGACTTGCTGATGAAGGCAGAGTTCCTTTTCTTCTGGACCCCAACTTTCATCATTTGGTCCTTAACAAGTGAGTTCATTCTTAGGGTTTAGGGTTTAGGGCTTGGGGTTTAGGGTTTAGGGTTTGGGGTTTAGGGTTTAGGATTTGGGGTTTAGGGTTTAGGGTTTAGGGTTTGGGGTTTAGGGTTTAGGGTTTGTTGTTCTTGTTGATTCCCACATCCCGGGGCTCATCAGCTCGCGCTCTCCTACCTAAACCCGCAGTCCAGGCCTGTTCTCCAGAGCCTAGGGTTTAGGCTTAACTCCAGGGTTTAGGGTCTAGGGTTTAGGGTTTAGGGTTTAGGATTTGGGTGTTGCAGTCCCCGTGTTCACAATGCTGTATATGGTGGACGAGGCGGTTTACACAGCGATGACGGTGAAGGTGATAGGCCGGCAGTGGTATTGGATTTACGAAGTGGAATCTCCAGTGGATTAAATAAATAAATAAATATTAATAAATAATAAATAAATAAATAATTCAATTTAATTCATTCAGGACACTCTTGAGGGGGTGGCGGCGACGAGGGTTTGAAAACGGATTCAAAATCGAACAAAACGGTGGTTTACGCCCCATAACAAACCCCAAACCCTAAACCCTAAACCCTAAACCCTAAAACGGTGGATTGAGCAGGAACTGCAGCTAGTTAGATTCGCTTCTCGAATTCGAAAACTGCCGAGGGGGTTGGGGGCCCCTAGTTAGCTGTTGGGGTCCGAGGGGGCCCCCTGACCTCTAGGCTTTCAGCAGCAGCAGCAGCTGCTGCTGCTGCTGCTGCTGCTGCTGTTGTGGCGCCTGCGCCGGATTCTGCTGCTTCAGCAGCAGCAGCAGCAGCAGCAGCCACAGACACAGCTGGTTGAGGCCTTTAAGTCTCTTCTTTATTCTCTAGTGAAATGTCCCTGGCTGAGGCAGGCAGGCACAGCGGAGTAGCCTCAGCTAGCTAGCTAGCTAGCTAGCTGGCTAGCTAGCCAGCTAGCTGGCTTGGCAACTACGTAGCCAGGTAGCTAGCTACCTGGCTCCTGGGCCAGCCACGCGTGGCTAGCTCTCTGAACGCGGAATTGTCTTAGCGGCTAGCTAGCTAGCTAGCTAGCTGGCTAGCTAGCTATTTAGTTAGTTAGTGGATTAGTCATTTAGTTAGTTAGCTGGCTAGCTAGCTAGCTAGCTAACTGAGCTAGCGTGGAACAGGGGCCCTGGGGCTGGGGGGCGGGGCGGCCTCGAGGGGGCGCGGAGGCGCTTAAAAAGGAAACAAAAGGGAAAAAAATAAAAGAAATAAAAAGAAATAAAATAAATGAAAATACAAGCAAAAGGAAATAAAGTAAAACAGAAAAGAGGCTTGCTGCTGTCGAGGCGAGGCTGCTGCGCCTCATCGAGGCCTCGGCGGCGGGGTTTCTCGTTTCTTGTCTCGGCTCTTTGGGTTTGTTTTTGCAGTTTATTTGATAAACTCTTTGAAATAAAATAAAACAAAATTAAATAAACGAAAAAAAGGGGAAAAAGTGGACGCGCGAGGTGTACAGACAGCGGAAATGCCAAGAGAGCTGCGGCGACAGAGCGAGGGCCGGAAAAAAGCCGCGGGAACCCCTGGGGGCCCCAAAAGCCGCTCAAATGAAAGAAAAATGAAAATATGAATTAAAAATATAAATTAAATTCAATTAAAACGCAAAATGGCGGAAAGCGGGGGAAGTTCGGGAAACAGCCACGGCAGATACAGCCGCCGGTCGGTCCACGCAGAGGCAGCCACTGCGCCGGGGTGTACGTACACCTCAGCCTTCCGCGCGAAATAAAACCCTCAAAAGAATTAAAAGTTCTTCTTTAGATTTATATTTGTGTTTGCAACCGGGTGTGCGTACACCTCACGGGCCGCAGAGACTTCAGCTGCTGTCTCGCGCCTCTGCCTCGCATTTATTTCTTTCTTTCCTTTTCGGATTTGCTGCTGTGTCTCATCTCGTAGTCTTTTCTCTTCGGCTTCTTATTTGTCTCTTCTTCTTCTCTCTTTTGTCTCTTTTGTCTCTCCCGGCTGCTGCTGCTGCTGCTGCTGCTGCGCTGCCTCTCCCCATCATGGCCAAACTCGCCGCAGCAGCAGGGCCCCAGCGGGCCCCGCTGTCTCTCTGCTTCTCTTCTTTGCTGCTGCTGCTCCTTGCAGCAGCAGCAGCAGCAGACAGCGCTGTCAAAGGCTCGACCGCAGCAGCAGCAGCAGAAGCAGCAGCAGCAGCAGCAGCAGCAGCAGAACCGGGCTTCTCGGGCCTCGATGCCTATGAAGAAGATGAAACTAGTGCTGCTTCCTTCTTACAAGGAGAAGCAGCAGCAGCAGCAAATGATGAGGCCTTTTGGGACTCGGAGATAGAAGAGGAAGAAGAAACAGACGAAGAGGCAGGAGAGCAGCAGCAGCAGCAGCAGCAGCAGCAGCAGCAAGGAGACACGGAAGCAAACTTCACAAGGGACCCTTACGGCGCCCCCTCCTTTGCTCAGGGGAACAGCAGCAGCAGCAGCAGCAGCAGCGGAGACGCAGAGATGGAAGATGCCACAGCAGAATTCGACGAAGAAGCAGACTCTGAGGAGGCCGAAGCCAGCAGCAGAAACAGAAGCAGCAGCAGCAGCAGCGCAGCAGCAGCAGCAGCAGCAGACCCAGAAGCAGCAGCTTTCGTGCAAATGAAAGTCATTAGGGCCATAAAGCCCCACAGCTACGCGCAGCAAGCGAGCGACCAAACAGCAGCAGAAGATGAAATGCTGAGAGAAGCAGCAGCAGACTCCGACGCAGCAGCAGCAGCAGCACCAGCAGCAGCAGCAGCAGACGAAGCTGGAGAAAACGGTAAGCCCTTTTGCTGCACTTGATCCCCTTCCCCTCTAGCTGCTGCAGCGAAGCCTTCATTGCTGAAACCCGAAGCACACAAACTCCCTCCGCTGCGGCTGCTGCTGCTGCTGCTGCTGCTGCTGCTGCTGCTGCTGCTGCTGCTGCTGCTGCAGAGGAAGCAGAAGATATGGGGCCCCTCTCCGTGGCGGACAGAGATGGGGACAACTACGGGGGCCCCGCAGACCCTGTGATAAAGTACGGGGGTTCGCCAAGTGAAGATTTGCTGCCAGAAAGAGCAGCAGCAGGAGAAACAGCAGCAGCAGCAGGAGGCGAAGCAGCAGCAGCAGGAGGCGCAGCAGCGCGGGGCGAGGAGGAGGACGCAGCAGCAGCAGCAGCGGAGCGGCTGGACGTGCGGGCGGAGGAGGAGGCCGCAGCGGAGGCCGCAGCAGCAGACGCTGCAGCAGCAGACGCTGCAGCAGCAGATGCTGCTGCAGCAGAAGCAGCAGCAGCAGCAGAAGGGGGGCCCCTACTCACTGACACAGAAATCGAACAAGATGTTCATCTTTCTTTTCCCCGCCTCAAACAGCCCCAGCCCCACACAGTCCAGCGTCAGCTTCTTCAACTTTGCTGCTGCTGCTGCTGCTGCTGCTGCTGCTGCTGCAACTTTGCTGCTGCTGCTGCTGCTTCTTCAACTGTGCTGCTGCTGCTTCTTCAACTTTGCTGCTGCTGCGCTGTTTCTTAAACTTTGCTGCCGCTGTTTCTTCAACTTTGCTGCTGCTGCTTCTTCAACTTTGCTGCTGCTGCTTATTTATTCTCATTATTTATTTTTATTTATTTATTTATTTATTTATTTTCTTCATTTGTTTTATTTTTCTTCTTTCTGTTTGCTGCTCAGGCCGTCATGTGGAACAAGACATCAGACTGACAGGTAAAGTCTAGGGTTTAGGGTTTAGGGGTTGGGGTTCAGGATTTAGGGTTAAGGGTTTAGGGTTTGAGAGGCAAGGGGGCAGAGCAGTCGTGTTCTTTGCTTTGCTGTTTTTTTTTCTGCAGAGGCTCTACGAACCGAAGGTGAGGGCTTAGGGTTTAGGGTTTAGGATTGAGGGTTTAGGGTTTAGAGTTGAGGGTTTAGGGTTTAGGCTTTGGCTTTGCTCAGCAGCTAGGCCAAAGCTCTCTAGAGCTGAATTACTCCCCCAAACCCTCAGGCTCCCCTTCCACCTTTCACGGTTTAGGGTTTAGTGCCAAGGGTTTAGGGTTTAGGGTTTAGGGTTTGGGGGTGTTTGTGCAGGCAAAGGGGCCAAAGCCAGTGCAGCATCAGCTCCTGCTGCTGCAGGCTCTGTCCTAACGCTGCTGGGGGTTTGTTTATTTACTCTTTTTCTTTGAATTTAAAAGGGTTTAATTCAGCAGCAGCAGCTGCTGCTGCTGCTGCTGCTGTTGCTGCAGCAGCAGCAGCAACAAGCGAAGCAACACTGCAACGGCAGCAGCAACAGCAGCAGGAGACGCAAAGAGGGATCTTGGCTTTTTGTTTTGTCTCTTTTTAAGTTTTCAGAAGAAATAAATGAGGTGTCCGTACACCTCAACTCCTTTCAATTTATTTTCTCTTCTTTCACTGAGGTGTACGCACACCCGCGCGAACTGTTTATTCCTTTTACTCACCAGCAGCAAAATAGAAAACTCGAAAAGTTATTTAAAATTCAAATCAAAAACGCAATTAGAATATATTATTTTTATATTTGTTTGTTCATTTCCGAACTTGCACTTTTTTCTATTTCTGCAAATACCTCAATTTCGTCTTCTCCGAAAATGTGCATTTTCTGCAATTTTTTAATTTGAATGGATTCAAACTTCAATTAAAGGACTCTTATCTTTTTATCCTTTTTATTATTCTTTAGAATCAATAATTTCTTAAAGAGAACTTTAAAACTCGCAGGAAGTGTCTATGTTCAGTAGACGCTTCTTCCGAGTCTACAGACACCTGGCTTCCCCATTCTGGTTTGAGGTGTACAGACGTACACCTCAAAGCAGAATGGGGAAGAACAAATGTTATTAAATGAAGCAGCAGCGCCTCAGCTGCAGCAAATATAAAAGTAAAAGTAAAGAAGTGAAGAAAAAATAGAAAAAAAGAGTTAAAGTGAAAAGTTCCGCAAAAAGTTTAAAATTCAGTCAGGGGCTGGCCAATGAGGTGTACGGACACCTCAAGACAGCTCCGGTTAGCTGCTGCATGTCGACTTGTCGGATTTTCATATTTATTATTCTTTTTTACACGAAAGATTTATTCTAAAAGCTGAAACGTCTTAGTTGAATTGTTTAAAGTGCCGCGGCTGCAGCAGCAACAAGAAGTTTGTGGTGTACAGACACCCGGCTCTCGTGGAGAGTGACTCAGAAGTGTCGATGCTCAGAATCGTTCTTCGAGAGCCGTCACAACTCAGTTAATGAATTGAAACAAGAAGAAAAATAAAAACCATTTAATTTAATTCAAATGATTTAATTAATTAATTTATTTACCTTCCCCCGAGCGACCGAGCCGGCCGTTCAGGTGTACACGCACCTCCGCGCCCGAGCCGGTGAACCAGAGGCGCTCTTTGAGTCGACAAAAATATAAATTAAGGAATTCAAAGATAATAAAAAGGCTTTTAAAAGTAATCTAAACAACTTCTGCCGCTTTTATCCGCAAACAAACGGCGTTTCCCCCGTGTGTCGATTCGAGTGTACATACACCCCGCGCCCCGCTCCCCAGCCTCTCCTTTAACTGCACACTTTCCACTTTTCCCCCCAATGCCATCTTCGCCTTTATCCGGGCCAGGGGGAACCCCCGGGGCAGCAAAAGAGGCTGCAGGGGGAGGGGCCCCTGGG